TGAGACTAGAAGGCTCCTGACTTTCCTCAGTGTTTCCACTGACTGCTTCAGCCATCTCCAAAAGACAATAAAGGCAAAGTCCAGCTCTTAAAATGGGAGGTCAATTAGATACTTAATGATGAAGCATATCTTCAAATATATATCTATTATTATTATCCTAGCAAAAAATTAATTAACCAGGTCATGCAGGCCATGAAGGCTAATGTATAAAGTAATTATTTCTGATCTTTAGACAACTACTTCACATAAATGGTAGTCCTTATTCTGCTCAGCAGATACCTGAAATGCCTGTAGTTAATCATGTTGAAGGAAACAAAAGGCCAGGTTTATCTCCTTAAAAGGTGAGAGTACATCTCAAATTATTCTATGTAATGGTTTAAGAACAACCACCTCCTTGCTTATAATATTAACATCTCTTCTGATTAATAGGCAAGAAGAAAGAAGAACACACATTTAATAGTGTGACAAATACCCAGAGACAAAATATACGAAGAGCACACAGGAATATGTTATAACCAAAACAGAAAACACGTAGTATGAAAAACATTCACACCCTTAGGAAGAGAGAGGCATCAGTGAATAGACAAACAGTTGGTTTTGCACCTACGCAGCATGTACTGCAGCATATAAAAGAGAAAGTTTTTGGATAAGACCACGAGTGTCTGCAGAGCAGCAGCAATGGCATCCAGTTCAGGCCTTCCACAACTGAGTTCCCAGATTAAGGAATGTATTAAAAGATGAGTCAAGGGCAGTTAATACTGTATATTAACCATAAAGATTTACAAAGAGCTAAGAATTTCAAATTTCACAATTACACACTAGAAGGTGGATGTGTATGACTTGAGTAAATCAGTGGCCCTGGCCCAGCAAGCCTAATGCCCAAATAAAATCCCAACAAGCCAGTCCATTCTTAAGAGACCGCTGCTGTTCAATCAGTGTTATGGAGAGGACACTCCTTATGTAGCACACAACACAAACCACTTGAATAACACTAAAACTGGATAGACATGGATAATTGGATAACACCATTCATGCCTGCAGAAGTATGTTTCTCACAAAGCTATTTTAATGAGCTGAATTCTCTTGCAAAGATTAAGTTCTAGCAGCAAAATGCCATCATTAAATGTGTTCCTACTGACACGCTATCAAAACCAAAGAATGTGGTGTGTTGTGTCCATGAAGAGTATCTCCTCTAGATTCAAAAACCTCATGATATGGGCAAACGATGGGAATGAATAAATATACAGATGGAGCAAAAAAATCAGGATTTATAAAATATTTTCTGTTTTGTTTTGACTAGACTCACAGGAGTAGACAAAGGTAAGTTTATAGTTGTGAGCATGCGAAACAGTTTATTCTTGTATTGTTATTTATTAATTATTGTATTATTTATTTGTATTATAACTGTAAACCCATTTTTGCCCACTCCTGTATATATAATAGTTGATTAAAATACTGTAAATATGCTTTGATATGTTCCAGTGGATTGAAAATCAATATTGTTTTCTAATCAACATAACTCATAAGTAAAATTCTTCGGGAGACTGGCTGAGTAGTGTGTAACGCAGTGGGTGGACGAGGGAGGAGGAAATTACTGAAGCAGTCATCTGTCCTTGGGAATCACAGCATGAGACTCAACATTCCCAACTCCAAGGATCCATATTCCATGATGTATTCGTCTTGTTTCCATAGAGTTGATTTTTTAAAACTGTGCTATATTGGTCCTAGAAATAGTAAAAATGTCTAACTCTTCCTGGGTTCACATCGGAGGAATTACTTCATATGTAACAAATTAGAGAGATCACCATTTTCCCCAAAGCACAAACAGAAGGATTTAAATTCACTAAGCAAACAGCCTCCTAAAAAATCTGTTAATATTAAAGCATTTTAATAATTGTTTAAAGTTATTAACCTGATTATTTTAAATGGTAAAAACTGACTCATCAAAAATATAAAAACATCAGTTCACAAAATCATTCATTTTTTTTTCAACAAGGCCTACATGATCTTAAAAGTATGTCTTTAAATTTTAGTTAGGCTTTACACCAAGACAAATGATGTTAAAAATTATATTCAAGGAGGGAAAATATATATATATGTATATATATAATTATTTTAATGCATACATAAATTTTGAATGAATGCAAATGAAATAAGCCTGTAAGATAGCATTACAATACTACCTTAATCATGCCTTTTCCTATTTCTAATGAAAAAGGACACTTTTCTTTCTTTCTATTACAGCTTGCAAATTCCAAAACAACAGCACTAATTCAGAAGTCAGCATCTGAACTAGATGTAAAGAACAATCTTGAATGTGACCACCTGATACTCATGATCTATAGCCAATTGCCAAGGCTTAATCTTGCTGACCATGTTAGCCAACAGGTTCTAGGACTCAAGATTTTAAGAAAAGAAAACAGGTCAAACTTGCTCAAATGTCTTAGCATTCATTTGCTTTCAGAGGAGAAATTAGGTCTTGTATTTATTACCTTATTTTACTCTGTTATGTTTTGTTTTCAAAAGTGAGAATGCTTCTTTCATGACAGAAAAAAATATTCAAGGCATCTCTTACATTTCATGTTTTGCTCAGAAATGTATATTAAAAATTAGCCCAACAATAATTTCTCTCCTAGATTGGACTATATCTATGGCTTGTCAAAACCATTTTTGAAAATACAGTTAACCCATTCCCCTTTCAAAAAAATAAATAAAAGTCTGAACATCAAATACCCGCTTTTTAAGTGTCAAAGATGAATACTTGTGTAAGGAGTAAGTGTTTTTCAGCATTTGAAAAATTCTTTGAATGGTCTCATACTGATAAGATAAATACTGACAAGATATGCAGTGAAGAGTAGCTCTGGACAGAAGGAACTGTAAATACGGGTTTATTGCTTCCTCTTAATTTTTACAATATGAGTTCTGGTTACAAAGCATGCTATATTTCTAAAATAAATATAACTGACACTTTGAATCTCTCTGTGATTTTATAACTGAGACTGTTGAGATCAAGTGCTGATAGCTTCAATTTTTATAAAATTAAATAATAAGAAATATCCACAAATGTTAAAAGCAATTAAACTTCTATTAGAAAACTTGGAACAACAATTTTCCTATCTTCACAAAGTGAATATTCTGGTGAATAATATTTTAAGATCAAGTTCTAGTTTCCTGAAAAAGACATCAATTTCATGTAGTCAAGCTGTAACTATAAAATCATATGTAATCAATAAATGGTAATAATATTTTATAAAAATACTCTGAATTGGTTGCTATTCATCTGTGAGCCTCAGTACCACAGGCAGACATCAATTAAGACAGCCACTTAATACAAATAACATGCACTAACAAGTGAAATACATTCAAGATAAATGATGAAGTAATAAAGAGGTAGTAAAAACATTAATAATAATAATAAGTGGCTGATATGGGAACATCTCAGTGAACGTCTTCCATTCCTTCTTTACAACTATGAGAAACAGAGAGAACTAAATGATCAGGTTATTTAACACCCACTGAGTTCTTAGAGAGGGAGCTAGAGAAAAATGTAGGAAGCCACAGGCTAAAAATTTTGACCTTAGTAACAGGAGACACACTGAAAATTCTAATAAGGGCAGAACAAGGGAACACCTGGACGGTTGTTTAATTAAGTATCTCAGCATGAGTTATAAAAGAGATATCAGGATGAGAAGTTATTCCAAGATTTAATTGTAAGGGTTGACTGTCAAAAATGCCAGACACATTCCATTTCCTCTACATTTGGACTCTTTATTTTGAAACATATAGACTTGAATATGGAATATGGAGTCAGAACTAATTTTAAAACAACCACCACAACAAACCACTGGTTAAAACCTCCTCGTGAAGATAGCCAAATTAGATACAAGTGCTTCTTCAGGCACTTAATTATTATTTCGCATGCAGGAAGGTTACCTGGAACACTTAGTACGATTAACAAAATGAAACAAGGCTGTAAGTTAAAATGACTGGTTTTCACCAGTAAGGTAGAGGATTCAGTAAGCTACGACATGAATGATTTTTTAAAGAATACAGAAGGTGTAATATTAATCTCAAGGAAAGGAATACTATAAATAAGAATATACTGCCCCAACTAGGCTGACTCACAGATCCCAGTGTTTAGAAAATATCCACAGCAGCCAACAGAAACCACAGAGGTTGTGATGGGTACATACAACTCTGGCATCGGTATTCCTGAGGATTGATCCCCAGACAACGACATCTATGTTCCTATTCAAAAATGGAGACCACTCCCTTACCTATCTTAAATAGCGGTGAGTTGAATTAACCACCAAGTATGTAAAGAAATGACAGAAATCAAAATTCCTTCCCAGGCCATTGTCATTATGACCTATATACAGTGTTACCCGGCCACAAAAAAAAAAGAGAATTTCTAAATTGTGTTACAATTATTCAAAAACAAGTTATTCGTTCTTTCTAGACTATAAGCTCCTTGAAGACAGACAATTACTCATTAATCTTTATATTCCCCTCTGCATCATCTAACAGAAATGCAATTAATACCTGTTAAAGAATAAATTAATTATTACCAACCTTTGCCAGGTCATAAGATTTCTCTCCTAACTGGCCCAATCAGATAGTCCTAACTAAATAAACATAAGCTTCTCCCCATGATGCTGTTAAGTGGTAAAGTACAAAGCAGAAATTGGTTAGTGGAAATCAAAACAGCATGTGTATGCTACCTTGGAAACCACTAGATTCTGCCATTTGTGTTCGACACAAATGGCAGAAAGAAAAAAGATAAGGTTTTTTCTGCTTATGCATCACATCCAAAAAGAATGCTCAGACCACTAAGTTGATATTTCCTACATCCCCTTATACAATTCTATACAACATCCTTGAACAGTAGCCGTATTGGTGCTGTTTATGAGAGGGGGGGTGCACTTGCAGCATTTTATATTTCATTTTCAAGGAGGCAAGTACGTGAGTATAATCAGACGAGAGTAATAAAATACACTGACCTGGATCTGTTGCTGCAGGAGATTAATTTTGTGCTGCTGTTGCAGAAGTTGCTGCTGTTGTCTTGCAATCTATCAGAAATAAAGTTACATTAAGTTAAAATGAAATGCTTACACCTTTGCCATTACCTCAGGTATCTCTCCTGGTATTACAAGAATGCTGTACTGCACTTCTATGTGCAAGAGTTCCTATAAAGTGAGAGAGACAGAATCAGAAATTGGGAGAAAAGGAAAAATGTCAGACAGGTGCCATTTCTCTGCTTATCTCTAACTCTCCATCTGCAGGTGTAAACCACCCTTTGTATTCCATTTGTGAGCAGCTCATCTATGTCTGCACCGGTTTCGAAATCTGACCCTTGGAGAACAAAGACAAAAAATCTCTGGCTACATTTTTATAAAGAGTTTAATTTGGACTAAAAAAAATAAAAGTAAAGTCTGTAGCAGAGACAGGAAAGAACTTTCTATTAATTATAATATAGTTGACTTTGCTGAAACCGTTTCTGAGGTAAAGACTCAGAATGGGTAAGACAAATATTGTCAAGGTAGTACCAAGAAAACATGGCAAAGTGTCAAAAATCATTATCTTGTTTGGTTGATTTATAAATGTACATCAATGATGTGGTGTACAAAGCATTTTTAAAACAAAATTAATATTTATCCACTTATTCTTTTGAGGGTAGTGTGTTATAGTCTCTTGCTTCATCCAACAATCAGATTCAACATCCTAACACATCATCTGGTCTATGAAAATAAATAGTAACCACTTCATGCAAGCCCCGCTGACGACTGAATCTGCCCCTCAGCAAAGCAAACAACTTCTAGCATAGTGGTGTTTACTGTAAAACACGAGTTGGGCATCAAGCTGCTGATGGCCTCAAAGGCTGAGCTGCTATAGCTGTAAGCCCAGAGGGATGCCCTTTAGTGAGAACACACTCCATCCAACCTAGAAAGCCAGAGAGAAAAGTGGCCAGGGAGGACTTAGAAAAACTTGGTTTAGTGGTACCCTTTACGCAAGACTTATGGGGTGTTTTGTTTTGTTTTTCTATTTTTCCTATTTCCAAACACCAGTATTCTAGAATGAGCAATGTTGGAGGAGAAAATGAGTGTGGTCAGCCCCCAGCTGCATGCTTTGAGTCTTTTGGACGCTTTAGCCTAGAGCAGAGGGCAACATCCAGATCGCATTTTCATTCAGCAGAAGAGGACAAAACAGCAGTCTGCTCCCAAATGTTGCTTTAAGGTTCCTGGTGATGACTGGCTCACACTGGAAGTCATAATAAAGCTGTCCCTAACAGTCTGAGAAATGGGACCATTCCTCCCCAACACTTTATAAGCAAAATGGAAATAGTATCTAATCAGGTAGGAAAGGCCCACTTTGCTAGTCACCATTCAAATCAGAAATGGACACAGGGGTGTTGGGAAGGTGGCTGAGAAAGGTGAAGGGATTAAGAAGCACAAATTGGTTGTTGCAGAATAGACATGCAGATATAAAATACAGCGTAGGGAATACAGTCAATAATATTCTGATAACTACGTAAGATGTCAGACAGGTATGAGATTTATCAGGATGATCACTTAGTAAGTTATAGAATGTCTAATCACTGGGGTGTGCACCTGAAACTAATAGAATATTGTACACCAACTGTATTTGAAAAATAAAATAATGATTTAAATAAAAAAATTAAAAAGAAAAAAAATGGATAACTCACTCTGAAACTCTAGGTTTAGATGCAGGATCCTCTGAATATTTATTTCCTCTTAGCAAACCAGTGAAACACCACTAGGCATCTAATATTGATGGTCCCTCCTAAATGATAAAGTGCTGCATAGAAATGCATCCAGAACACCACAGTGCAATTACTATCATCCACTCTAGACGTATGGGTTTGACACAGTGAAGTATGGTACATAAGCACCATGTGGCTCAAATTCTGAATTTTATTTGCCAATCGGCTGAGCTACATGCTCGCTTCATTGAGCATGACAACCTAGTTTTAAGTGTCATTTAATTTTCATTTTGAAATATAATTACAAAGTGTTCACTGTAAGATATCACTCGTCTGCAAATGTGTCAAGATTAATTTGTGCTAGCTTATTCACAAGTGTCAATAGTTAATTACTGTGTCATCTCTAGATGGCTAAATGACATTCTAACTTCTGATTTTTTACAGTGTTCCTTTATGTTATTTTCCATTAGGGGCTGAGTCCATATTCCTACATGTGGGTAAATATTCAAGCATATAAAATACCAGACGTCACAACTCATTAAAATCAACAGAGCATATATTGCTCTATATACCCCTATAAAATACATTTAACTGAAAAGATAATTCCAGTAATAATGTCAGATTCCTAAAAACTGCACATTAATTTGGGTCTGTCTAATCTAAAGCATCAGGGACTATACTATAGGATCACTGTTGTTAGATTAATGTACTCTTATGAGACATTTGGGAAACTGATTTATTTTTTTAAAGATATACATTTAAATTTTGCTATTTTTTTCTTCTTACTCTAAATCAGGGAAGTCAAATTCTTATAGGAGCCATGTGCTAATTTGTTTTCAATGATTTACCTATGCTAAATAGCGTGAGCATATAATTTAGCATCCAAACCAGGACAACTTTTGCAAGAGGAGGGGGCATTATTAATACTTATTCTGGAAAACAGGCATTAACCAAGGCTGTTCTGGGAAAACAGATGTGTGACCCTAGCTTTAAAATCAGAGAAAATCATTGGATCCCAGGGCTAGAACATCCTCAAAAATTTTCCTAAACCAGAACTCTTTCTTTCTGGATGGGAAGAATAAGGCCAGGACAGAAGCTCCTCACTCGTGGTCAAGCTGCGTTGGGAATGCACGTGCTGCCTATGTGAATAAGTTCCCCTGTGTAATTAATCAAATCCAAATGTTCTGGAACGATGTTATCATTTCAGTTATGCCCAGTTGTTACGATGCCTCTCTTTGTCCTCTACGTATCCCCTCAGTATTCTTGAAGGCCCTGGTTTCCAAAAGGCTTCTTTCTTTCTACCTTTCCTTCTTCTTTTTTAGGAACCCTTATGACAAATAAACCAATCAATGTGATGACTCGCTGAGCCTGGCACATTCCGCAGCTCCGGTTCGTCAGCTCCTTTTGCAGGGCTCACCTGTTCTTGCTGTTGGCGAGCAAGGTCCATTTGCTGCCGTTGTTTCTCAATTTGTGACGCTGCCAGTTTTTTCTGTTCGTCGTGCGCTGCCAGGAGCTGCTCCCGTAAACTGATCAGCTGGGTAATCATGGTCGAGAGCTGCCGCTCTTTTTCTGCCAGGCTCTCAGGTGTACCTAAAATGGAAACAAGAAGATATCTCACAAGTTTGAGAAAAGTATGAATGAACGGGGGAAAGGGTGGGAGGAGGGCATAGAAAGGGACTTCTCTAAGACACTAAAGATCTGGGAGAATGACCGCAGGGCACTGTGAGTGCAGGAACAGTACAGAGTAGCAAGGGGATGGATGTTAAGGTGAGTCACTGCCCCTGCCAAGAACAAGAATTGTTGCCACTAAAATTCTCACTCACTCTTCCCTCTCTCTCTTAAAAAACGAAACAAAACAAGAAAAAGCAGTACTAGCTAGCCATTCTCTCCCTTTCCCCACACGCCTCTCCCCTCCTTCCCCAAATCTCCCAGATCAAGCTGGGAAACATATGATACTTGGTACCAATAATTAGAAACTGTGGGTTGTATTAATATTCTATGATCACCTCTACCCTCAGTGACCAACAGAATCTAAGACAGAGTAGGTACCTAATAAATGTTATTTAAGGAATTTTCTGGTCATTGCCTTCATAAAACTTTTCCATTGTGCAAAGATTTGTCTCCAAAGCTCAGAAGTCAAGGGTCACTCTCTTGGCCATGGAATGAAAAAAAGAAGAAAAGGAAAAAAAAAACTGCCTTGCCTCAGGTAAGAAAGGATTGAACCTGATTTTTTTTTTTTTTTTTCCTGTGAGGGGATCAAGCTAAAGTTCCCAAGTTCACCCTTAAAGGCAACAGTGTTGCTCGGGGGCTCCCTCACCCTTTGTCATCCGTCATTCTTCAAAGGGAAAAACACATTCGAGGTTGAAAAGGTTATGCATAAGGATGTGCTGTTTAATGAATATGATGTCAGCGAACACTTATGGTATGCACTAATGGTGCTGAACAGTCTTTTTACGGGCAAATTGCACAGCTCTCCTAAGTAAAGGGTCCAGAATCCTTTTGTGAATCTGAATTAGAGCATTTTACCGCAGCATAAGATAAGAATTTCAACCCTCTGTATTTGAGCCACACAGTTTCATTATGAAGAAATGATCTATGATTTGAAAGCTTTTCAGAATCATGCCACCAGCTGTCAAAGGGGACAAAGATTGCCAATTTTTGTGTGTGTGGAGAAAGAGACTTCCTATCTCCTTATGAAACCCGCTTCGTTCCTGCTAAGAGAACCCCAGGGTAATCTGAGAAACTAAAAATATTTTAATTAGAAGTGGCCATATTTTCCGAGTGGCCCCATGGAGAAAGGAAAGGGAGTCCTCAGAAGATGCTGGCTGGCACTTGCTAGTATACGATTCCCACAGGGTAAGACTGATGTCAGCAGAGAAGCTGGGACATTTAGGACTACCTTGGGATTCTTAATGCCAATCCAAATCCTAAACAAACTGTCAATATCTTTATCCCTTAAGATTCACTGAGTGGAAAAATGACCTAAAATTGAAATTAGAAGAAAAATATAGTTGAGATGATGGATTCCACTGACATGGGAACAAATACTGAATCAAGGATAGTGACCATCTGTCTTTCTAGTTACTCAAATTGATTTTTTAAATCAGATTTTATTTCAGCAATAGGAATTTCAGCTTGGTACAAGAAAGAACTTCTTGATCCAAAAACACTGAAATTCAAAAGCAGGTTCCCACAGGGGATCAAAAACACTTCTTCAAAAGCACTACAAGTTCAATTAACGTATATGTCAATATATATAGATGAGAAGTTATAAAATAAGTGTAAAATTAGTGTATTTACTCATCTCATTCATTTTTAATTTTAAGAAATTTCTGTCTGAATGGCACCTACATGTCAGGTACTGCATCAAGAACTAAGGACACCAAAACCACGGTAAGAAAAAGCAGAGGTCCCTACTCCCACGCAATCTGTGGTCCAAGTGGGGAGACACCTCAGGCAAGTCATCACACATGTGCATTTAAACTACAACTAAGTAAGATTTACAAGCAGGTCAGACATCTGGGGGTAGGTTTAACCAAGTTTGGGAGGCCCAAGTGCAGGGAAGGTATGGCTGAGAAAGTAAGAAACGAACAGCAAGATGAATAGAGTCAACTAGGCAACGAGTTGGAGGGAGGTCAAGGAGCTTTTCAGAAGGTGAAAGTAGGCTAAGGCCCCTTGGGGTGGAGAGGGGGAGTTTCCGTGTGCTCCAGAAGGTAAAAGAAGGTAATGAAACGTAAACAAGGAAAATAAGGGGGAGTAGTGTACCAGATGAGGCTAAAGAGGTAGAAAAAGGTCACACCTCCTACAGACCATGCTAATTAACTTCATATTTATTCTAAGAATATTCCAAAATCACTGAAGTACTGTAAGCAAGGGTGATGTGGTCACTCTGGCTACAATGTGCTGAATAGTTTTAAAACCTATGAAAATAGATAAATAGGATATATGCACATTTATTACACATATTTTTTGCAACACTCTGATCTACACGTAATTTTCTTATTATACCTGCCTACATGAGGCAAATTCAGAGAAAACTTAATGGATACTGAGGAAGTTAATGAACCATAATTTTTTGTTAATAAAGAAGAGCATTCAGAGGAAATGTGGGTCCAAGACAAGTACAGGAACTGGAAAATTTTCTCTTCTCCCAGTTATTTTCAACAGTTATCGACCAATATATTACTCTCTCTCCTCTGTAGAGGAAAAGGAGAAGCTGAAGATAACTCCTAAGTGACTTCCAAGCCTCTTCTGTTCAAGGTGAAGCCAACAGGTCTATAAATGCATTGGTGCTTCCACTGCGAATAGCCATGTATAACTACATCTAAATTTAAAGAACACCATTTTACTGAATCTTTTTACAAAAAAATATTCCAGTTGTTTAAAGTATAAAAAATCAGATGTCTAAATTATTTTTTCATTGAACTTTAAAAATATGTGTTTAAGAAAAAAAAAAATCAAGTCAGATATCAATATTTTTAAATTGAGGATTTAGGCACTCATATTTGTCTGTCACTATCCTTTCCTTAAATTTGAGGAGCACATATATTTTGAATAGATATGAGTGGAAAAACAAATTCGGTTGGAATGAAATGTACCAGTATAACAAATCTAAAATTATATTTATATATAATCCCTTGAGAGTCAAATTACAGAGAAATCAATTTATACCCTACAACAGCTTACACTCTTTAAATGTGTAGGCTAATTTTTTGTGTGTGGTCGTATCTCTAGCCTGTACCCATTGTATTTGTTCACATGTAGTGGTTCAAACCCTGTTATGCTGGGTTTTCTGGGGGTTTTTTTGTTTGTTTTTTAATATTTTTTTGTTTATTGATTTTTAGAGAGAGAGAAAGGGAGAGAGAGATAGAAACATCGATGAGAGAGAACATCAAATGGCCACCTCCTGCATGCCCCTCACTGAGGACCTGGCCCCCAACCTGGGCGTGTGTCCTGACTGGGAATCGAACTGGCGACCTCTTGGTGCATGGGACGATGCTCAACCACTGAGCCACGCCAGCCAGGCTGGGTTTTCTGTTTTAATTAACAGCAAATATGCATGCTGCCATAACAAAAATAACATCAAATCTGAATCACACTGACCAACCAACCTGCAAACACAAGTTATTTTATCTCAAAAAGTATGAGTTTAATTGAACATGCAACTTTGTCATGGCAAAGCAACTTTAACTACCAGAGTTACTGAAGAAGTAGACAATTTATGAGACATAGTGTAGGCAACCTGAATACTGTCAGGCTATGTTAAGGAACACAAAAGACCGTATAGAATGCTCTTCTGAAACAGCTTAATTCTATGTAGAAATTCATGTCTTGAATAGTTTTGAGGTTTGATCAAATCAACTTGGAAAAAAAGTAGATCAGATCCGAGGCTCTACCCAGGCCAGCAGAGGTCATCAGTAGCTGCCTAACATCTGATTCATATCCCTTGGCTATCTTAAAACAGTTCTCTAAAAAGCATTGCCAGCCCTGGCCACTTTGGCTCAGCGGTTGGAGCATCGGTCTGTAGACCAGAGAGTCCCGGGTTCGGTTCCTGCGAGGGGCACGTACCAAAAAAATAAAGTAAAATAAAAAGTAATAAAAAGCATTGCCAGAAATGTGTCTCTACCGCACAAAATCAGAGGTAGTTTCATAAACCGCAGAAAAGGGAACCAGCAAGAAAAGCTTCTGTACACAGCCTCTCTACAAGTCAGCGTGACTGCTTTTATCCACTATCACACACAGTGCGCGCCTGACACTTTCCGCTGTAAACTGTATCTATTCTCCAATTCCAAAGACAGTGTGGCAGGTTTTGTTTTGTTTTTTTCCATGGGGGTCGTCTTTATCCCCAAACCACATCTGTCTTGAGTTTCTCTCAGATTAGTCAGGTGGATCAGTGCTCCCCAGGGCCTGCTCCAGCTGAAGTATTTTAATTTGACTAAACACCTGATTTATTTTATCTCTCCGATGAGAAAGGCAGTTTGTCTTAATAGAGCCTGTCAGCCCACAGCCCCATTCACAGCAATTTACAGGCAGCCAGGGACGCTGGAAGAGAAGAGTGCCGTGATTCTGTATTTTATCCTCCTCCAGAAAGCACCTAAAAGCAGCTATTCACTGCTACTGCATGTGGCATTTTAGAACTGAATTAGCTTTTTATTCAAGTAACTACATTTGTTGTGAATAGCTTATCTGTAAAATTGCTACATTCACTACTGATTTTATTAACCTTTGGCTCTATCACAAAATGGTCTTCAGTTAGGAAAGACCTTTAAAATTGACACGTTTTTTTCTTAGGGGCCTTTATTCCAGTGACTTCAGATTTACTGAGTTGGATCCATTGAATTCTTTACCAGTTGTACTGAAAATTTTGAGTCTCAATAGGCAGTCAATAGTGTGTAAATAAGGAAGCACTTTTCAAAATGTAAATATGGCAGCAATTTCCCTCATCAAAAGTTTTCAAATATCATCTTTAGCTATGACGGTTTAAAAATCAGCCCTCTAGCCCTTTTTGGTCATAATCTGAAGAACTTGAAACAATGACCTAAAAAAGACTTTTTTAAAAAAAACTGTACAAACTATAACTGCCTATCTCC